TCAATGTTTTGCTCACATGAGCTGAATCTTATTTAAAATAAAGTTCAACCACGCATTCCTAATATCTGAATCCGAAGGAAGATTATGCAGCGACTGTGTTCTTCCACAACCAGGCACTGCACAATATTTTGCGATCTTCAACGGCATGTTTATTGCTCGGTTGCTTGATCTGGTTTAGCGCCACTTATGTTATTTCCCTACTATGTCATGAGCGAATCAGTGGGCGGGGCTAGATAATTGGGCGTTGATATTCTTCTGTGGAGGCTGTGTTTAACCTATCTATAAAGTCGTACATAGGCACATTCCAGGATCTGGCGTTCGCTGGGCCTGGTGTTAATAAAAGCTTTTATTTCAGTAACAAGGACGTTTTCAGTTCTGAAACTTACAGGATATTCTATTACTATGATGACCTCTTATATATATCAAAAGCTCAAGTAAAAGTTGATTTCTCAATTCATGACCGCTTTAATTTTCTTCATGGAGAAACTGAATTGAAGCTGTAACATACAAATGTCAAAAAAGAAATTGCTGAATTCCCTGTGAACAACTACACTGTCCATAATCCCAAAGAGAGATCCACCAATCAAATAAGCCGTAGTTGCCATGGAAACACACAAATTGCACCAAAAGAGCTCAGTAGTGACCACACACTCCCAGTGATTTTAACAAGACTCCATACACTTTTAAACAACATATATTTGTATATATTTACTACACTGAATAAATCTGGTATAGGACTTTCTTTTGAAACAGTTTTCACCCAGACGTTGCTAGGAAAAGTAGAAAGACTGAAATAGTATTTTTGTGTAAAACATAAAAGACATTTCCTCATAAAAGACATTAATTACATAGCCTTGTGGGGTTTTTTCCCCCTGATTTTTTGTTTCAAATCTGGTCCGTTTGGTTTGTGTATTAGAACTCTTATGCTGAATATTTTTTGAAAAGCTTATGAAGAAAGTAGATGGGGAAAAAAACACACCTGAAACCAAGGCCGCTTAAAACGCGAAAGTCAATATTGCTCTCTGTTATCCTGTGTCTACAGCAGTTAGCTATGCCTGGGCTTTATCGCAGGTGTTCTTGTGAAGTGCTGGAGTTGGCAGGCATTCCCACACTGCACTGTTCTACTTGGAGCAATATGGGTCAGAAAGTTAGATTTTTCCATTAGATGTTTGAGGTTGGAATGTATGGTAGGAATAAAAGAATGTAAGGCAAAGAGTGGAAAGAGGGGGGTTTCTAGAGAAGGGTTGCAGTTAAAGTTATATACTTAATGCTAGTAATATGATGTGCTAATAATAATATGCTAATATGAATACTATTAATATTATCGCAGTTGAAATAAGAGTTACAGACTTTGCTCACACAGGGTATAACAACTTTCCTATTTTTGTACTTTTTAGGAATTTTCCCCCACCATGTTACATGTGTGGTGTTCCCAGTCAAGAATGACTGGCCTACAAAAATTGCTTTATCAACATGTTTTCTTTCAATGAGCACAGGTTTTGTATTTCTTTTTGGAACTGACTGATAGGTCTCATTGATACGAGTGTATGCAACACATTAGTGAACATTGTCAAAATGATGCATCTTTTACTCAAAAACGAGGTGCATAAAGTCAGGTCAAAGGCCTTACAGCCAATCAGTTTCAAAAAGAAATGCAAAACCCGTGCTAATCGAAATAAAACAAGTTACCAAAAAGATTAAATGCAAGATTTGGTGATAATATAGCATAATAAGAGATGCACAATCCAATTTTTAAAGGCCAGTCATTTTTGACCAGGATCACCAAATTAGGTAAAAGATTTTCAGCAGAGCACAAGGGTTAAAATGTTTGGCAGTACAGTCAGATAATGTCAAGAACAAAATGTTAAAAATTACAGCTGATATTACTTCCCTTTTATCCATTGCACAAAGTAGGTCACGTTGAGTGCATTATAAGGTATTCCACACAGTCAATACTGTATATTTTAGAAATTCTTCCAGAAATTTATGCATACAGAAAATGTGCATTTTGTGCACAGTGTATACTGCAGCAAAAATAGTATGGTAGTATGCTAACAGTACAAAAGAGAGTCAAATTCAATCCTGAACCTCAACATTATTACTTCCTCAAGGTGAGCTCAGCAATAGCGCTATGAACTGCGCAATGCTGCAGGAGCAGCCCATTCATTGTACTGCTATAAACTGAAGAACTAATGGGAACTCCCATATTTCAAATCAAATCTTTCAGGGTTTCTGGGCTTTAGGAACTGGGCTTGATCTCTGAAATTATGAGAAATGTGTTAGGTCTTGATATCCAGGTCATTGGGTTTAACATGATCTCTGTAGAGGAGAAATAGTTCAGTTACAAACTATAGTTGCTGTCAGGAACAGCAGATGCAAACAAAAGTCATATATCATGACAATCCCATTGCATCATGGTTGTAGAAACATGCTCTTGGCATGTGCAATAAATAATGTTTATTATTTTTTTCATTAAATCAATCAAACGTAGTAAATCAAATAAAGCAAGGTAAAAAAAAAAAAGGTTAGACTACTCTTGTATACTTAACGTACTTTGTGGTTACTGTGCTGTTAACAAGCTTTAGAATTCAATGTAACAAATGCATTATTATTATTTATACTTTGGTTATACTTTACAATAAGGTCTCATTTACCAGCATTAGTTACTGCATTAACTAATATGAACTAAAAATTAGCAATACATTTCTTGCAGCATTTATTATCTATTATCATTTATTATGTTAATGTTAGTTTAAAAAAATACAATTGTTCAGTGTTCATGTTATGTTAGTTCACAGTGCATTAATGTTCACCGATAAAACTTGATTTTAAAAATGCATTAGTAAAGGTTGAAATTAACATTAACACTAAGTTTAAAATCAATTAATTTAATGAAGAAGAAGAAATTAAGAGTTATTTATATATTTTGCATTTGAGTGCCAGTAGTTTGCATTTCCAAACATTATTCTTGCCCTTATTTGTAATAATCAGTGAGATTTATGTACAAAATGCTTTTCAAGCTGTTGCTCTGCAATTAAAGTACTTGACCAAAGAAAACTGACTGTAAAAGAAGCTGGTCTTGAGATGGTTTGAATTGCATGCAACACATTTTGGAACAAAAAGATTTTACATTTGCTGAAGACAATGTTAGTGGTGCTTGAAAAATTGCCATGGTGGTTGCCAGCGCATTGCTATGCGGTTGCTATGGTGTTTTGAGAGGTTTCATCACATTGCTATGCAGTTCCTATGGTGTTCTAGGTGATCCTAGGTGGTTATTTATTGACCAAAGTCAACAGATTGCATCCCCAAGCCTTTATAATATCCTTTGAAGTCCCTAGTGCTTAAAAAAGTAACAACTTGTTCCAGTACTCGTCTGATACCGATACTTTTATTTTTGGTACTTGCCGATACAGAGTACCGATACCAATATTTTTATTGCATTTGTAAATTTTTTAAATATTGGGTACAGAAACCAAAAGAGTATATATAATGTTAGTTGGTTAACTCCATTTATCAAATAGATACAATCAAACCAAAATTTATTCAGACACCGTCAACATTTTTCACATTATCACAGTTTATTCGCTATAGTTTAGAAAATGGTAATAAAATATAACAAGAACTCAGAGTTAAACTCTGTCAGAACAAATTCAGCTTGATAATGTTAGATCACTTTGATAGAAAGGTATGTAATGGATTACAATCAACCAAAAATTAGACAGCTGTTAGTATGATGTTAGTATTTACACAACTATCAATACGTAGTCGGGAAGCCCTTAGCCTCAATGACAGCCTGTAGTCTCCTGGTTCATGCAAACCTGAACTTAAAATAATTTTTGGTCCCAAATGTGTATCAGTTTTACTCGTAGTCCACTGTATGATGACATTTTGGGTATAATTTGTCACAGTTTACTTTATTTTGCTATCCTCACTTACATAAATTAACTATAGTGTCCTGCACCCACTAGTAAAAAAAATTTATCCCAAATGTGTATCAGTTTTACTCGTAGTCCACTGTATGATGACATTTTGGGTATAATTTGTCACAGTTTACTTTATTTTGCTATCCTCACTTACATAAATTAACTATAGTGTCCTGCACCCACTAGTAAATTTTTTTTTAAAATTACATCTAGTCTCTGAATAATTTTTGGTTTGACTGTATATCCTTTGGTTATTTTCACATTTAATTATGCCCATTAAAATGTATTTTACAAGTTTTTGTTACTTTCACTGTTAATTTTTTTTGCTCTATGGTACATCATCTTTAATTTAGCATTAGAGCTACTCCATTGCAGCGGGTTAGTACTGCAATCACGCGCTTTGCTGTAATAATGCAGGGAACCACTCGTTATAAATGTGTTTCATTGTCTGAATATGGCACTTAACACATGCTGTGTGGTATCGGGGCATTTTAACGAGTACGAGTACGAGTATGAGTACAGGAGCTCAGTATCGGGCCCGATACCAATACCAGTATCGGTATCAGTGCATCCCTAGTAACAACACACCTCTCCTCAACAAGCCACCCAGTTTGAGGTATAACTGTAGTACAAAGCTGGACAAATTGCACACCAGTATTTAAGGTAAATGGTTTGATCAGATCCTTGAGTATAATAATTGTGATTTGTGCCTTAGTAAACACCATATAATGGTGTGTGAAATCAGGAATCTGCATCTGCACTTGTTTAGGGTTTGTTTCAGGCCTTAAAATGACTATAGTCTAAACATTGAGGTTTCAGCCAAAGTTTCTCAGAGTTACATTTGCATCGGGTGCTGTTGTGGTTTTCCGGTAACATGGGTTACTGCTATGAGGACTTATGTTCTTGTTTTGGTGTTGCAGCCCTGAAGTGGCCTGTTGCATGACTGAGGCACTGTCTTCGTGATGGCTTGAGAATGATTGTGATGGAGCAACACTGTGAAAATTGAAGTAGAAGGAACAAAAACTACACTTCAGTAATGCTCTCTCTTTGCCTCTCTTTCTTTATCTCGTTTCTCAGACTCACTACAGTGATGGAGAGTACATTATTAGACAAGGTGCCAGAGGGGACACGTTCTTTATCATTGGAAAGGGAAAGGTAAGATCTTTTCCACCACAGAGACCGAATACCACAAAGGTTGCGTGCATGAGCAACATTTGAAGAAAAACATAAAAAGTATAAAAGTACATATGAGTTGTATGCTATACTCCAAATCTTTAAAAGTTATACAATATCTTTGTATGAAGAACTTAGTGAAGTTTAAGTCATTATTCCCTAAGAATTAAGAAAAATAAGCCCTTATTAAAGGGTTAGTTCACCCAAAAATGAAAATTCTGTCATTAATTACTCACCCTCATGTCGTTTCAAACCCGTAAGACCTTCGTTCATCTTCGGAACACAAATTAAGATATTTTTGATGGAATCTGAGAGCTGTCTGACCCTGCATAGACAGCAACGCAACTAAAATGTTCAGAAAGTCCAGAAATGTAGCAAGGAGATCTGTAAAATAATTAATTTGATATCAGTGGTTCATCCGCAATTATACGAATCTACGAGAATACTTTGTGCGCAAAAGAAAAAAAATAACGACTTTATTCAACAATTCGTCTCCTCCGCATCACCCTGGTGCCATTTTGGAGAATATCCGCTGTATGCTATTCTGTGTCAGCTGCGTCACGCCGGATCTGTTTCCTACATTGTTTGCACTTTGATTTGAATGAAAACAACATATCTGCGTGACGCAGCTGACACAGAATAGCAACATTCTTCAAAATTATTCCTTCAAAATGTTCATTTTTGTGTGAACTGTCCATTAATCTGAACACATTTTCAAGACCCTTCGTTCAAATACACTCTCTCTGTTGTCGCTCTATCATTTAGTTTAATTAGAGTGATAAATACCAATCATGACCACTAATGTAAATGCTAAATAATTGTTATTTTAAGAACAAATCAGTGGATTATTCAGTCTTCCAGCTTTTCATGACCAATAATCTGTAATTGCAGGTGAACGTTACTCGAGAAGATCCACCCAATGGGACCCCTGTCTATCTGCGGGCATTAGGTAAAGGAGACTGGTTTGGAGAAAAAGCCCTTCAAGGGTAAGAACTTTTTGCTCACTACTTATAGTGCTGTAATCACAGCTGGCCACTGTCCATGTTTACAAAAGCAACTGTTGACATCAATTATGTGCTTGATGGATCGTTTGCTGCAGGAACAGCCTAATTGGCTGTAAACTGAGAAAAATCAAATGCACATCCAAACAAAGAATCTGTTCTGAGTTGTGTTCAACTTGCTGTGGGAATAGTTTTTGAAAGGAATTTGATAGCATTTAAAGTTAACACGAAATTAAAATTGGCCTTGTTTGCTTTCTAAATACATATTATGGATGTATGAGAAATAAATCATAACCTTTCATCAAAAGTATAAAATAACTTGCTCCACCTCCGAAAGAACTTTCTTTCCGGCTGACATTACCGATCTCTCGTATTTGTGAAGTCTTCCTCTACATTTTTTCTTCTGCCTCACTCTGAAATATTTCACATTATGGAAGTGAGCTGTGAACTGCATTTTCATTTGGCTTTTAACCTGATTTGAAATGGGCTTATATGAAAAATGCCTGTCATGTTTGATGCTTTATTTGCAAGGGTACCATCTAATGGACTGGGAGCACACAGCACTTCTTGAGTAGAGCTAATTTGAAGAGAAGATGAGACCGGTTGTGTCAGAACAGTCAGATGCACATGCAATCCTCTCCACCTCATATTTCTCACAAGGTTATGAACATTATCCTCTGCTCTATTTCCATATTCCTGCACAATCTCTCTGCTGCTGTTTCAATAGAGGCCAAATGCAGGCACCTTCCCTCAAGCTTCCATTACGGCTTTCAATTTGTGTTTACAATTTTTACAAATGTACACATTTTTTCCACATGATGGTTTTAGTTTTGAAACTTTTTGAACAGCTGTTGCAAGGGATACAGACAGAACGAATGCATTGGGGACTCCTAGTGGAGATCAGAGGAAGCGTTAGTTCATTAATGGTGGTGGTTGTGACAAACAACAATCCATTGTATTGATATTTTTGGGCAATTACCCTAATGAGTAGTAATAAAAACAATAAAGGTTTTTTTTTTCATTTAACAAGCACGCGTCAATGCACTTGGCTGGTGTTGCACAGCTGTGTTGTGATATTGAGCTTGTCATCGACCCTGAAAAAATGGGCAAGCTGCTAATGGACCGAAATAAATAGCCTGCACATTTCACACAAAATAAAAGATCCGTGCTGGGAAAATTAATATTTGCTAGGATTAGCTTGAATGAGAGAGTAGGAGGATATGTTTTGGCCATAGGACTCATGGGACGAGAGCTCATGATGAAGTCATGAATCAAGGAGGACATACTTTCATCCCTTTTGAACCCTAACATTCAAGAAGTCTCAAACAGAAATGCCTCTGGTTCACTACGGTACACTATGCCAACCTGTGAGGCACACGAGAGTAAAATGAAATTGTTTCTGAGTTTTCTGATTTGAGGGAGTGATATGAAACAGCTGGGTGCAATCAGTGTAAACAGGTGTGTGCAATTCGTGCTGAGTGCAATCAGTGCAATGCATGATGGGAAATGTAGTCCGGGGTGCTATGCAACAGTTTGTGTGGTGCGAGAGTCAATGAAAAGGAAAGTTCATGGACCGGATTCGTGACAGTATCAAAAGTGAAGACAGTGCCGAGAAACTAATCTAGACTTTGTTGTTGTGTAGTTTAAGTTTTAGCTTGAGTGTTTGGGTTCTAAATGTCTCTTGAATTTCAGTTTTTCAGTAATTGACATCAACATACTATTTTGGTCACAAACAACATATTTGACTAGCTGAACTTGCACCAACATACCTTGAAGTCTGATTGGATGCACCATATTTTAATTGGTTACAATAACCAAACATGTGTTAACATTAGTTAATGCATTAGATATCACAAGCTGACAGTAAACAGTACTTCTACTGCATTTATTAATCTTGGATAAAGTTGATTTTTAATACACTTACACATTTCAAATTTGACCATTTTTACATTTAAAAAGTTGACTCAAAAATAATAAACTATTCATTCACGATTAATGCATTAGCAATGTTAATGTTAAATGAATGATTTAATTCTGTTTTTGATTACATTGATGGATAGTACCTAATTAACAGTTTTATTAGCTACGATAAATGTAGTAACTATTACATTTAAGCACAATCTATTTTTACCACATAAATATTTTGAGGGCAAGGTATTGTCATTGCAAATGCATTTTATTATAATTGTTTGTTACAAATGTGTCTATCAGCTGTATGTTTATAGTTATATATTATGTGATCTATTGATCAATCGTTACTTTGTTTCTATTCACAAAGCCACCTAGTTAGATGGCTCTTGCTTTGATCTGAGCCGAAGGACGACCAAGCTGATGAGTTGCAATATGGTGTGTAGTGTATTCACCTGAAGAGGTGTCACTCCTTCAAATGTGTGTTCTTGATCTTCACGTCTTTTGATCTCACCTCTCACTTTCAGCTTTAATTAGTACACAATCTTGCGTTTTTGTTTTGGTTGTTGTTTGTTTAGTTTCTCTCTTTTTTTGAGTGGTAGTATGTTTAGCAAATCAATCAGCACTCTATTGAAGTGGATCAAGTCAGTCTTTCATCTTAAACATAATTGTTTACGCCGTTCTGAGTCTTGTTTGTATGATATGGGAGTTGCCTGGGATTTGACTAAGTAACAGGCATAACAATAGCTGTGGTCTTCTGGATTAAAGGCTGCCCACTGCTTTGATGTGCAACAGCCTGTATGCTAAGTAAACTTTCATGTCCCTCTTAAGCAAAACACCTTGTTGAGCCAAAACAATTAATTTGCTGCCAGTTAAGGAGATGTTGACCAGATCTTAGAATAATTCTCTTCTTTTGAAGTTTACACACCAGAAGGGAAGTATATAAACACACTCAGATCAAGGGCCACTGTATGGATAATTCTAAAGAAAACATGTCCGGGTCACATTACCAAAATCATGTCAAACTCTATTATTATTATTTTTTTTTTTTTTGCAATGTGGCATTATTTTCATTACAATCAAGCACATTTCATCATCCCAAATTACCAAAGTAATTTTTCCATATTATTCTATAATAATTATATTTTCATTACTTTAATTACAGTAGAAATCTTATAGTTTATTGAACATGCTATGTAATAGGACAACATATAACCATGTATAAATAAATTTTTACTTATTAAATAATATTTTATCCCATTGTGCAATGTTAATAAGAACTGGGAACGAGGGCTTTAAATTGTTTCATGATATTTACCGTATATGGTTCCTTACCTGTTATTTCTTCTATTTAAAGAATAGCATTGACATTTAAACGACACTTTTTGTGTATATTTGACTTGTCGTGCTGCATGTTTGTGATTATATTAGTTATCTTGTTCAAACTCTTGCTACAATTCATTTTCACTGATAGTACACAATACAAAGTGGCTTTATTGGAAGTTATTTTGGTAAAAATGCATCTGAAATGAAATTAAAAGCATTGCTATATCTGTGCTATTTCCTTGTCAGATCAATCTCAGCTATACTTTAATGTTAATTACCACATAATGCCTTAGTTCACCCAAAAATAAAACTTCTAATTTCTTTGACCCTCTTGATGTTTCAAACCCTGTATTATTTTCTTTTTGCTTTGAACCCAAACTGATAATATTCACATTGTTTGTTTACATATATGAAAACATACAATGAATAAGGGCTATCATACATTTATTTTTGAGTGTGCTAACCTACAAGTGCTACACTGAAGACCTCTCATGCTCCACAACCGGCACTTTAACCTTGGTTCCATTTTCATGGAGTAGCTCACGTTGTGTCACTTTATCCTGTTATTCTACCAGCTTGATTGACGGCTCTGACCTTTCCTTCATAATCCTCACTCCATACTTGCTGTGATGTGCGCTCACTACATCCAGACTTTAACTGACAGCTGAAACATGTTTGTACTGGCTGGTCTTAACCCCCCTCTGTCTTTCTTTGACTCCATCCTCACCTAATGCTGTCACAGCATTCAGAGACATCCCTCTGCCTCTGAAGTGTGCCATGCTAATTGAAGGATGTTTCCCTGTTCTGGACTTTCTCAGTGTCAGTTTTAATCTTCATGTGCGATTGATGTGATAAGTGTAGCTGTGATGTGAATAGCACAGGACTGATGTAATAATCACTTTAGGTTTTATAATTGGACCTTATTTGCAAGATCTGCGGCATCTCTGATATGTTCTATCTCAATCGGAGTTATCTTTTTTCACAGTTGTATCAGGAAACATATCATATCTAATGATAGCCAGTTTGAGGCAGTTGAATTCCAGCACATGCAGATGCATTTCAAGACAGCAAACACTAATGGCACCCTAAACATAGACATGTCCACTGGAAAGTGAAGAATATTCGCAACTGTGTGGTGCTAATTGGAGACCCATGTCAACGTTGAGGATGTGGGTGGCATATCACCGTTTTTGTCCTTGTATTATATAAAGGTCACATTGAAAATATTTGGAAACATTTTACCTTTGTCATTTATTTTGCCACTTTTCAAATGCATAACAGCAAATGCATTGCCCCATACCCAGAGTTTTGATCCTAAAACATGAAAATCCATCGTAAAACATAATTGTATTGTTAAATGTGTGTACTTTCATAACACGCCATGTCTGTGTGGATGTGGCAGGCAGTTTACAGGCTTTTTAAGGTAAATACGCATAAGTGGTTTACTGTCTACAGCTGGTTTTGTTGATGTCCTTGTAATGTGTTGTAAAGTTGCTGAACAAGTCAGTAATTTAAAGAACAATCAATGTAATTGTAAAGATACAGCATGATTTTTGCTCCTTGTTTGAGTGGTGTTTGCCTATTTAAAACTCTCTGGCACAATGCATGGGGGTTGTGGGTGGTTGTCAGGGAATTGTTATGCAGTTGCAGGTGCTCTGAGTGGTTTTTTCATGTGTTGCAGTTGCTATGGAATTCAACAAATCACATGATTTGAGATACAAATTATGTCCCTAGCACAAACAGGATGAATGGCACCCTAAAGTATAATACCTATAGTTTGGGTTTGTTGAAAAAGCATGACACAGTCTCATTGAAAAATCGGGACCTTTGCCAATAACCTACCTGTACTCAGATTATTGATTAATAAAGACTTATTTTCACAAGGTTCCTTGCACAATACTGTTATTACCTCAAAACACTTTTACCATAGTGTAAACAAATACATTTTGGTGTTTGCATCACAAAACCAGCTCCGTATATATGGTTTTTCTGATGTGGTAAACATGCTCAGTAGCACACCCGGTACGGCATTGCACTTGTAATGCAGAGCATACTGGTATGAATCTTATTAAACATAAGTCACGACACTCGATAAACAAGGTCAAAGACTCAGAGAATCAAGCTAAAATGGCATGGTTGTATCAGCAAATGCACTTTCTGGTACTTCCTGTTTGTGTGTGAAGGCAATCAGCATTCCCACCTGGTCATTGTGAATTGGCAGTGTGCAGCTGCTTGGAACTGTCATTCAGAATTTTGGTCCACACACATGAATTTATGTTGTGCCATGCGGTAAAAAAAATGTTGTACAATAATAATGGCTGATGATTAACACTACTCCATTTGTCACTGATTAGGACAAATTATGTACTACGGATGTAAATTTTTCTGAAACAGTACAATAGATCATGCTTTGTTGTTTTCCTCTTATTATGTATGTTTACATGCATAATTATTAACTAGCTCGAATGAGTCTTTTTAGTAGTTGAGCTACAGTCTTCATCTGTCCCAGCAGGCCATACATGACACAATGTGTAACTGATTATTTGAAGGATTAAATCACACATTGTTACACATTACTTTTGGAGCTACTGTTCAATTTGTTCTGTTAGCCCAACTTCACAAAAAATCTGACTGGTATGATTTCAATCGGGCTAAAGAGTTTACATGACATTTTAAAAATGCAAAGTATATGCAAAAAGACGTATTGATTAAATAATGGCAGTATAAAATTGTATATCTCAGTATGTCACAAAATAGTTATTTTTGCTGGAAATTCAACTAAAATATCTATATGTTGAATAACCATCTCATATAAATGTGTGTGTGTGTATTGAGTAATTCATCAAAAATGAATACATTTTAGATTTTGGCTGTATGATTGACATGTATTCTTTGTGTCTCCACAGAGAAGACATCAGGACGGCTAATGTTATTGCTGCTGAAGCTGTCACCTGCCTCGTCATTGACAGAGAGTGAGTTGTGTGTCTGTGTGTGTACTGATGCTGTGAAATCTGATTAGTCTTTCATCTTTTCCACTGTGTGCTCACTAAGTTACCGCCACTAATTTCTAATGACCTCATACAGCTTTCACTGTGGCAAGTTCATGCTAGTTTACGCCAGTTAATTTCATGGAGCCAAATCTTCTCGTTTGCCATTCTTAGACAGCAGGCTGTCAGCAAACCTCATTTGAGTGGCACAGCGTGTGACAAAACAGTAGGAGCACAATGCCTTGCTGCACAGTGGGACTCATTGACCTCCTCTCGTCTCTGTAGACATCGTACTCCAGAGACTTTGATTTTACTTCGGTCTGAGGAATAGATATAATAAGCAACCCCTCATACAAACTGACTTTCACTCTCACTGCAGGAATTTGCCCATTATCTCAGTCCTGTTATCAGTCAGGGGTTTATGGTAATGCTCATTAAAAGACTCTTGTTGTTGTTATATTGTATGCTAGCTGACCTGTGATCAGTGGGGATTTTAACCACTGATTCATGCAGCTGATTTCCTCTAGGAATAGAACCCAACAGTAATGCTTACTTTTTTAGCAGCTTGGGATTTGGAAGTATTTGTACCTTTCATTTTCTCCATAGGAATTTCAGAAGAAAAATAGTTAAAGTACGTTTTGAGCAGAAAAGGGAAATGCTGTCACTCTGTTCCAGTCACATACTCTGTTGTATTGCTTGGAATGATTTCCATTGGTGGAAAGAAATATACAAGCTACTGTAACTGGATACATTTTGCAAACAGTTACGTAATGTTACGGTCATTTTTTTCTGGATCTAATAATTTATTTAAAACACATAAAAAATGACATTCATATAAAGAACTGTTTTGTGATGCATGCTTTTAATTTCTTAATTAAAATTATTTTTTGATCATTTTTGATAAGTAAAAAAAACATAAAATTAAAAATCATAATGAAGAATAAAGCATTATATGTTATATTCTATTAAAAAACAATAAAGCAGTTAGGTTTAAATATTGTTATATGCAGTAAAATATCATGTTAAAACATACAAAAACCACTTGATAAGAATGAATCATTCATATTTGTAAAATAAATACCATTTGTATTACAAAAATATATATTTAAAAACTTGAAAATAACTATGGTGAACTCTGACGTACGTAATATAAGGAACATTTATATAATTATTTTTATATAGTAAAAATTATATAAGAGAATTTTTTGAAAATGTTTTGTTTTTCAGATTCGTATGTAATCAACATGAATTTTAATATAATATTTTAAAACTAGATTTATGAAACATTATCGAAAATTTGTAGTCTCTCTTATTTGTCATGGCCCTATTAACTTGTGTATTAAAGCTTTATTTTTGGCAGTCGTTTTGTTCTGCTAGTGAAGCAGAAATTACAGAACCGAGTGACCTTTTAAATAGTGTATATCTCAGCAAAGCAGTATTTTAATGGCAGAAATGTAAGTACACGTGAGTGACTTTGGGTTCACACCCCAGAACATTTCTGCTACTAATTCTGGGGATTCCCTTGGGACTGTGCTAAGAATACATTGTGAAATGGGTCAGAGGTGCAGTGATATAAAGTCATTCACACTTTAAATGTCCATCAAATCATTATTATGGCTCGGGTTACCGCTGTCCTGCCTGACCTGCCAAGACTCAAAAGACTGTATAAATCATGGTAACATCCAACAAAATGATGCCATTAGGATTTAAAGCATTCAATTAATCCTACATTTCAGCTCTTAACCATAAAATTGATTGTTCCCCTTTTAGTTTAAATGTTTCATCAGAGTTCTAATAAAAATATGAGATAATGTGAGAATTCTCTGGTGGATGAGTCACCTCCTGCAGCAGCTGAAATTATGAACACTATTACTGGTTCCCTCTCATGTCTAAATCTCTTATCTTGTAGCAACATAGGCAATAAAATATTTCTCTGATTTAATAAGAGGATAGGGGAAAAAAATAAATGCTCTTTTTAAGTAGTGTGCTAAGGGATGATATTTAACCACTGGCAAAGTACGACATGACATTAGATGTTGACGAGTTTAAGGCAAGAAATCCTAAATGTCATGTCAATATGAAATTAAAAGTGACCCTATTTACTTTCTTAATGCATGCAAAACCAGTTTGTTTATAAAATGGACTCTGGAGTGAATATAACAACCGATTTCTATATGAAACATGAGAAAATGTAAATAGGTTGGGATAAATGCTTGTTATTTATCACATCAGGCCCGATTAGGACACTGCAATTTCAAAGCAACTCAACTATTGATATGCTAATGATGAATGAATACTTAGTTTGGTGACAGAGATGGAAACATGAAACACACTAAAGCTGCAAAATGTTTTGACTTGACTTAGACCTGTAAAGAATTGACTTAAACCTCAACTTGGACTCATAACTAGAAGTCCAAAACTTCGTCGAGTGCCTCGGACACGGGTCGGGTTCGGTATTAGTTGCCTCGGGTCTCGGGTAATTTAAAATAAATGTGCTTTTTCCAAATGGACCAGATAAGACACAATCCCTTTAACGTACTCGCACGTTGGTGTTAAGTACATTTTTTGAGAAACGCACTTAGAAAAGGAACATACGTTTGTAACCTCGCTCACAGAAATCCATCTTATAGATTTGAGATCCATCAGGAAAAGCCACTCGCTTCATTACGGTGCGTGTTCATGCAGGGCAGGGCTTTTCTTTTTTGTGTGCAGAATCCTTTCGCCGGAGATGAGGTAAATAGTATTGCAGAGCAGCCAACACTAGCGAAACTATGATTTATTAGGCTACCAATTTAGTTTTTATCGAGCTATCACGTTTATTTTTCCAAACCACTGGTCACAATTGAAAGCCGAACTCAGAGATAAATTGTATCCATCAAGTAAGCAATGATATTAAGTAATAATAAATTAAATAAATGTTAAATAAATCAAAGTAAGGGAGAAGTGGCCAAATCAGTCAGCAGGACACCGGGATTCTTCTTTACTGACTGCGGGGCTGCAGGCTGTGCACACGTCAGTGCCGTTTACGTTCGGCTCCAGTCGGGTTAAAAAATAAATGGGTCGTTGGGTTGTGTCGGGTCTAATTTCATCGGGTCTGTCTTGGGTTGGGTTTTTCTTAAAAAAAAAATTAAAATGCAATATTAGGCTCAGCAGCCTTGGCAAACTGCTACCTTTATAATTATTGTTTTAAAAGCTTGCAGCCCCCCTGCAATATGCACAGTTTGGGAAACAATATATATATATATATATATATATATATATATATATATATATAATTTGTATACTATATCCCTCATTATTTATTTGTGGTACTATTGAAATGCCTTTCATGTAGACATTTTATTATTTTACCCTTCCTTGTCCCAGAGTTCTGCAAGCCAAATCCTTGTCTTATTCTAGAAGCAGAACAAACTGTTCTATGTGTGAACTCATATTCTGACATATATAGTGAAGACATATTCTGCCTTATTAACAGATGGGAGAGAGAAAGCCACAGATGTCTTTCCTTCAAATGAAGATGAACGGCTGGAAGTTTAATGAGATGAAAAGCATTTGGGATGCACTGTGTTGTGATTGACTCTGTTCCGTGCAGATCATAGATCTACGCAGCTCGTAGTCAAATTATTTGTTCCTAAATGATAATTGTCTGTTTACGGCATTATTCAATACAAATGGTTCCTACAATGGCACACTTTGTTTCATTAAGGAGTCAGTTTAATTTGTATTATTATTATTAAAAATACACTCTATTGCAAATTTAAGTAAATAAAATACAACAAAATATGACTTTATAAACCTTGGTTTGCAGACCCCCTGCATTAGCATAAAGCATTAAAAATTGCATACATCTGCATTCATTTTTCATTAGACATTTTCAAATTTTATATTGTGCTTATATTGTGTTGTTGCTAACCTTGACCTTTTCTGTGACCATATATATATATATATATATAAAGTGTTGAGTATTTGAACTTTCCCCTGAACATTAGCCACAACAGATAAAAAAAATTAAAATAATAAAATATTTTTTTTATCTGTTGTGGCTAATTTTCAGGGGCAAGTTCATCTGAAATAGTTCAAAATAATAGGCCAATAATATAACTATTATATGAACAATAGTATCAGCCTGCAACGGGCAAGGATTAATTTTTCTGTTCATGTTTGCAGATCCTTCAAACACTTGATTGGAGGTCTGGACGACGTCTCTAACAAAGGCTATGAAGATGCTGGCTCCAAAGCGAAGTGAGTCTGATACTCAACACTTTCTGATCATGTTATCGGACTATATGGAGTTCTGTACATTAAATTATGATTCAGCATGATTCAATCAAGTATACTGCATTCACAAAGTATTCAGTTTTTCACATTTTATGTTGCAGACTTCTGGTAAAATGCTTTATTATTATTATTATAATTAATCTATGAAGATGCTGGCTCCAAAGCGAAGTGAGTCTGATACTCAACATTTTCTGATCATGTTATCGGACTATATGGAGTTCTGTACATTAAATTATGATTCAGCATGATTCAATCAAGTATAGTGCATTCACAAAGTATTCAGTTTTTCACATTTTATGTTGCAGACTTCTGGTAAAATGCTTTATTATTATAATTAACAATACACTCTATACCCCAAATGTATTTAAAAGGAAAAAATGAAATATCACACTGACATAACTATTGCACTTGAAAATTAGCTCAAGTTCATCCCGTTCCTCTGGATTGTCTTTGAGATTTTCCTACAGTTTGACTGGAGTGTGCTTTTTGCTTCATCATTATAAGTATGGAGTGTGATGTGTGAGTGTGAGCGTGATGTGAAAAAGCACTTTAGCAGAAGGCTTCAACATAACAGGATATGGAAAAAAACAAAGGAATCTGAATACTTTCTGAATGCACTATCAATTTAAGCAAAAAGTATTTTACACGTGTACAAACTACATACACAAATACAACACACTCCCTATATTAATAATATATTTGTGATATGGATCTCTCCTGTAATGAGTTCAACAATGTGGTGTATGATTAAGGTCCACATGACAGAAATTAATTGTTTTTCATTTGCTTTGCATGTCTGGCTGTGGTTCTGACCTCTTTGTGGCTATAATTATTTCAGCTGGACAGGTTTTCAGGAATTAGCAACCCAATATGACCAAATGCATTATAGTTTTCACCTATCTATCTATCTATCTATCTATCTATCTATCTATCTATCTATCTATCTATCTATCTATCTATCTATCTATCCTCAATGCCGTGCGTAATGCTTTGTATCATTCAAACTTTGTAAACCTCAGCAATAGCTTTGTTTATGGAAAGCCGTTTTAACATTTAATCTATAAACCTTACTAGTATCTATTTTCATGCTACAAGTACTTATTTTTAGATACTAGTATATTTTCCATTAAAGAACTATTACTTATTCATTAGCTACTAGTGCTTATTCTGTAGGTACTAGTACCTTTTTAAAATATACTAGTACTTATTAATTAGATACTAGTTCTTATTTATTAGACACTAGTACTCATTCATTAGCTGAATAAGACATGTAATCAAAAATCAAGAGTAATGTGAACATGGTGTAGTTGTAGAAGTGTAGTAGGAGGGTAAGGCATAATGTAATGTTTAAGGGAGTGTAATGTATATTGTGTTTTGTTTGTGTGTGGATGAAGTGCATGTTGTTGTTTAAAAGATGTTGATTGTTGTAAACACAGATACTGTCATGCAAGAAAATTTCAGACTCGTCTGACATTAAAGTGTTATATCATTAGATACTAGTGCCTATTAAATAGACACTAGTACTTATTCATTAGATACTGGTACTTATTATTAAATAGTACCTATTAAATAGATACTAGTACTTTTTGCAATAGTGACTAGTAACAAATTTAATATTTTGGTAACACTTTATTTTAGGGTCTCTTAACTAGTTGCTTATTAGCATGCATACTAGAATATTAGCCATTTATTAGTTATAATTAAGCACATATTAATCTGTTATTCTACATGGCCTTATTCTACATCACTTAACAACTACTTTACTAATTATTAATAAGCAGCCAATTAGGAATTTATTGAGGGAAAAGTCGTAGTTAATAGTGAATGAGTGTTCCCTATCCTAAAGTGTTACCAACATTTCACCATTGACTTATATGGGCATTTGACATTGAGATATCAACTATTCAGTTTTGACTAGTATGTATTAAAAGGGACCCAGGTTTATCCAAATAACCCTGCGTAGGTGGCCAACCAACCTCCACCGGGAAAATGTTCGGGCTCAGGAATTTTTTTTTTTGCGCTTTAACCCCTGCTATTGGAATAAGTACTAGTATCTAATAAATACGAACTAATGAATAAGTACAACTAACTTTATAAAAGACACTAGTAACTACTAGTGTCTTTTTTATTCCTAAAAAATAAGCACTAGTAGCTAATGATAAGTACCAGGAGGCTTTTCACAAACTTTAAAAAGGTACTAGTACCTAAAGAATAAGCACTAGTAGCTAATGAATAAGTAATAGTACTTTAATGGAAAATATACTAGAATATAAAAAATAAGTACTAGTAGCATGAACATAGATACTAGGTTATAGATTAAATGTTAAAATGGCTTGCCATACTTTGTTAGGTCCAGTCTTAACAGTCTTAAGTCTTAACAGACTTTCCATATGTAGTTTGGCTGAAACAAACTTTCCATTTCAATAACAATTTTGCTTTATGAGGCATTGTTATTATCAATTAGCCTGGAGTCTACACACACAGTGAGTGGTCTAAGAGCGCCCTCATGGGGCCATACCTAGATGTACAATGTCCAGTGGTAAACGTATTGTAGGCTATTTAGAATCTCTTGTCAGTTGTAGAATACAATTTGATTTCAATTCTATACTTATTGTTTTTAAGTTACTGTGGACTATAAACACTGCTCAACAGAGCATGCAGTGTTATATCTGACCACTATTAATTAGTATTATATTTTTATAAGCTGTGTACCCACTCCGCAGTTTGTCTGTGTAAAACCATATACAGTGAACTGAATGATATAATTACATGCCAGTAACTTGCATGATATGAGGGGGTGGTTTCAATATGCATACAATTGTGAGCTTTGTTAATTTCACCAGCATTTCACCAGAATTCAACCAAAATAAAAGCTAGAGGATTTAACGTTTAAAGGGGTCATATGATGATTTTTTTAAAGATTGTTATCTTGTGTATTTGGTGTAACAGAATATGTTGACATTCTTTAATGTTAAAAAAAACATTATTTTTCAAATACTGTACATTATTGTAGGTCCTCTATGCCCCGCCTCTCTCAAACGCTTCGTTTTCTACAAAGTCCCTCCTTCCGACAAGCACAGTCAATTGGCCAGCTGACCCAGTGCATTGTGATTGGCCGAACACCGCAAGCACTCGTCGGAAATGTAACGCCCCTTACCATAATCGCGAGCTTCATCTTTCAAAATAAATGTAAAGACAGTAAATAATGTCATTAGTTTTACCATCAGTTCAAGCCCGAAAGGGGAACAGACACAGTAATGATGCAGTACACAAGCCGCGGTTAAGACAGCTGACTCCACTTTGATGTGAAACTCTCTCTCACACACACACACACATGCGTGCACACACACACACATACACAATGCGCAAAACTCTGCATTTGAACAGTCAATAGCAAATACTTAAACTAGTAACAAAACATACTTACTCGCTGATTCAGGAGCTCCAGATTGTCATAGCAAAGTCAGAATTACCTCCTCTCCTAGGATCATGAAACGGTCGTCCATAAAATGCATTGCTGTTCTGTTGTAAGTGATCTTAAAGATTCCTAAATGCATCTACTTTCAGAAAGGCCAATAAAGTGCTTTTGCTTTCGCCTAGAAACACACAGCGTCTCCCTGACATGACTGCTTCAACACTAACTGTGGTTACTGAAACCACGCCTTCTTTCTTTGCGTGCACATTTGGGTGCATTATGCAAATATTCCCACATAGTGACCTAGATATGTGGGGGCGTGTTAGAACGAGCCGTTTTAGGGGGGCGTGGCAGAGTCTTAACTTTGAAAAAGAATATCTCTTTGGTTTTGAGACTTTAGTCTTTGCAACTTCAGGGATCTTATCTATTCACCAACAGCTTGTAACACTCCAAAGAGAAAGGAAAACTTGAAATCGCATCATATGACCCCTTTAAAGCTTGAATACTTGTTACCAGTATTCCTTCAAAGAAACTCAAACTGGTTTGGAACAACTTGAGGGTGAGTAAACGAAGACAGAATTTTCATTTTTTGCTTGAACTATTCCTTTAAGGTGAACATGAACAGCTGTAGACTGTCAAAACTGAAATCCATGTAGCTAAAATCACTGAAGAATTCGGTGTCATGTCCATATCGAGGTCTGTAAGTGGCCCATCTGAATGAACAGTTCCTTGCTGACAAGATAAAGCCATGTTTGCTCAATGCATATGCTGCTGTTGGCCCAACACAGCTGGAAGTGTGACTCATCATGCAGATCTACCTGATTCCAGTCCAATCACAGTGTTTCTTTGCTCATGAGAGCTGCACAGCCCAGTGGCATAGTGTTAGAGATGGGACCCAGGTGTGTTTCTTGAAACACTGCCATTGGACAGCACTCTGATGTTGAAATCCAAGCCAGCGGTCAGCTTGAAGGAAGGGTAGCACCTGCAGTGACACCAGCGTCTCTAACTGTCATAACTCTCTGCAAACATAACCACTGTTCTTCTGTGATCACGTCCACTGATGCACATGCACTGTATGGTGATCTTGTTGCCATGGCGGCTGGTCAGCGTGTGTACTCAGCACCTCTGTTCTCATTAGAGTGTTTGGCGTGTGGAGGAGCTTGAGTGCTGAATACACAGAGAGATCTGAAGTTGTGTTAATGATATGCACTCTGCTCACAATAGCAAGTGTCTAAACAACCTCTTTCACCCAAGGGAATTAAGTTACATTCATTAGTTACTAGGATACTGGCCTTTGGCTTAATGTGTGTGTGTGTGTGTGTGTGTGTGTGTGTGTGTTTAATGTATGCAGATTGTTCTCTTTTTGTCATACATTTTGTCTTGCATTTGGTAGAGCTTGGTAGTGTAGTGCAGATGCTTTTATTGGATGCTATTATAGGTGTTGAAATAATGATAAAATAATAATAATAATAAATAAAATAATAATAATAATAATAATAATAATAATAATAATTATTATTATTATTATTATCCTCATTATCATTTTTAT